ACCCTGCAGCTCTGGATTTGGTTCTGCCTTCCTCTTTAGAGGTCCAGATTCGGTTTGGTAGTGTACAGCGCCACCTGCAGACCACTTTGGTGGGAAAAGGAGCCTCTTTGGAGGGCTGGTTTTATAGGAAGCACAGCGCTAAGGTCCGATGTATTCCGGGTCCAGAGAGACCAGACAACTTCCTTCAGATCTGAAGACTGATTCGTTTCTTTACAGTTCCAGATCATCTGAATCAGAAGCAGTTTTAGCAGCAATAAATGAAGAGCTTGTTTGGTAACAGAGGAGCCCATTGATCTCTGGAGGCGTTCTGACCAATCAGCCTCATTGTGGCCCCATCAGGCTTCCCAAGTCTCCAGATCCAGGCAGGAAAGTTCTCGTCCTTTGATCCCATGAGACCTGAGCTGACCTGAGTTCCTCCATCGACTGTGAGACAGAGACCAGACTGACACACTGTAACATATTTTGTATCATAAACGATCTCTGCATCTTCTGGAACAAACAGACCAAAAAAAGGCGTAAAAGGTTAGATGGAAGGCGTCGGGTTCTGCCTGACGTTCCTCCCTGCATGAGCCTCGTACCATAGAAGTAGCACTGCTGAACATTAATCTACCTTATCTGAGAATAAGAGAAAAAAAAAACACAGCGGGAAGAAAATCTCATCTTCTGTTGATTTGCATGATGCTGTCGGTTCTGTTGACGTTTTCCTCCTTCCTGTTTCCTTCCTTCCTCGGTCCCTCCTTTCTTCATCTTTCCTCCATCCCTCCGTCCGTATTCTATCTTCCCTCCTCTATCTCTTCTTCCTCTGTCCCTCCCTCCTCCCTTTCTTTGTTAAAACTTTTCCGGATGAGTTTTTGCTCCACTGAGGAGAAATTAAGCAGATTATCCAAAAGAGTCTGATTCAGGCATGCTCCTCCAGGATGTGTGGGTGTGTGTGGTGAGCAGTCACAATAATGCATGGATACCGTTGTAGGTATTTTACCTGTTTTCTCCTGCAGAGGCGTGAAGAGAGACGAGACTGAACTCAGACAGGAGACTTTTCATCTCAGAAACATCTCTGCAGGTTCTGGTTCTGCTTCCAGACCAAAACCCAAGCGGCACAAACGCCCAGCGAAGCCTTTAGAGTCCAGATGCATCAAGATTTATGAGAATCCAGCTCAGATTGAAATGAGTAGAATAATATTGGTAAAGGAAATGGATAAAAAAAAAGCTGAATTCATTTATAGAAATATCGAAAAACATAAAAATTATCAAATGAAACAGAAATAAATGAAAGCTTAAAGAAAGTAAATATGATCCTATTTGTTGCCACAAAATGGAGAAAATCAGGAGAAAAACAAAAATGAAAATTTAAAACAAATGAAAAGGCTTTAAACCTGTTTTCCTATTTGTTAGAAGGTTCCGTCATAATCAGCTGTAACCATCTCAGACGTTTTCCAGCTTTATTCTAACAAACAAACTGAATCGATTTTATTTTCTTACAGTTTTCAGATGTTTTGCTTTGAAAAGTCACTGAAGTTTATCTGGAGCTTTGACCTTTGACCTAACAGGTGACCTTCTGTCACCTCAGTCTGACTCTGAGCTGACAGACCATGATGATGATGATGATGATGAAGTTCAGTCTCTGTGTGGATGAAGGGTGGTGACAGAATGAAGGAGAAAACAGCTTTAAAGCACAAAGCTGTATATTCCATTCCACTAATAAAGAGCAACAGAAACTGAAGGTGTCTGCTGGACTTCTTTCTAACTCATCAGCTCCCCCTGCTGGTCACACCCCAAACAACAGCGAGCAGGAGGAGGAAAAGCTGGAGAAATGCTGCCATCTAGTGACCAGCAGATAGAACAGCCGCATTGGGACGCAAACACAAAGCTGTCCTTGGAAAACCTTAAACTTTACAGTTAAATTGGGTTTATGTCTATATTTATCTACAGTTATAACAAATATTATTTGTTATAAGAATGATAAATTATTTTAAAAACCATTAGAAGTGGATAGTAATGTATAATTATATTTTAAGCATTATTGTTATTAGTTGTAGTAGGAGGTAATCTTAGCAGAGGTGAGCATTATTATGAAAGTTCGCTAAATGGGAATAATTTCACTTTATTTTTTTATGATAAAATGTTTCAGACAGAAAGACTGAGGAATCTTGTTTCTATACATACGTTTTCTACTCGTCATCTTCCGTTTATTCAAGAGCGCAGCAGATGGCAGGATTCCCAAACATTCCAAAACCTCCCCAGACCTCCCCAAACATGCCAAAAACTTCCAAGACCTTCCCAAAGAATGCAAAACCTTCCCAAACCTTCCCAGGCCCTCCAAAACTTTCCGAGACCTTCCTGGAAATTCCTAAACCTTCCAAAACCTACCTAGACCTTTCCAAACCTTCCTAGACCTCCCTTAACATTCCCAAACTTTCCAAAACCTTCTCAGATCTCCCCAGACCTTCCCACACATTTCAAAACCGTCCTAGACCTTCCCAAATCTTCCTGGAAATTCTAAACATTCCAGAACCTTCCCAGACCTTCCCAAACTCTCCAAAACCTTCCCTGGCCTTCCAAAATGTTCCCAGATCTCCCCAAACCTTCCCAAACTTTCCAAAACCTTCCCGCACTTTTCAAAACCTTCCCAAACTTTTCCAGATCTCCCCAGACCTTCCCAACCCTTCCCAGGCCTTCCAAAACCGTCCCAAACTTTCCGAAACCTTTCCATGCCTTCCAAACTTTTCCCAGACCTTCCTAAACCTTCCCAAACTTTCCAAAACCTTCCCAGATCTCCCCAGACCTTTCCAAATCTTCCCAGGACCCCCAAAACTTTCCCAGACCATCCCAAACCTTCCTGGTCTTTCCCAAATATTCCAAAACGTTCCCAGACCTTCCTAAATCTTCCCAAACCTTCCCAGACCTCCCTTAACATTTCTCAACATGGCTCAACTCCAGCCATGGTTCTGTGGTTCTGACTCTAGTCATGGTGGTTCTGTACTGGTTCTGACTCCAGTCATGGTTCTGTACTGGTTCTGACTCTAGTCATGGTTCTGTACTGGTTCTGACTCCAGCCATGGTTCTGACTCCAGCCATGGTTCTGTCCTGGTTCTGACTCCAGTCATGGTTCTGTACTGGTTCTGACTCCAGCCATGGTTCTGACTCCAGCCATGGTTCTGTACTGGTTCTGACTCCAGCCATGGTTCTGTACTGGTTCTGACTCCAGCCATGGTTCTGTACTGGTTTAGTTCTGACTGTGTGTTTGAACCAGTTCATAGAGAAAATTCGGGTTTTTAAACATGGCCGCTGCCTCCATCCTTTACTGAACATGTTTGGACCGGTCCTCTGATCAGAACCACCGGAGCAGTTCTGTAGCTCCAGGTGAAGCAGCTGCGCGCAGTGGCTGATGGGAGCTCAGCTAACAGGTGTGTCTCCTCTGCAGACTCCTCCCCTCCTGCTGTTTTGATCCATTTTACTTTCAGTCCGGTTACCGAACCCAGCTCCCGGTAATAGTCCCAACCAGAACCGGCTCCCTGCGTCAGAACTCGGTACCGTGGCCGTTCAGAAGCCCCTCCCCCTCCCAGACTCACCTGGACCTGCCGCCATGAGAGCGGAACCTTCAGAGTGCTAGAACCCAGGATCATCAGCAGGTTTCTAAGACATTACCGGGCTCTCCGAACCAGAACCTCGGAGTTATGGAAGGGCTGGATTCTGGGCTGAAGTTCAGGCCCAGCGAGGTAAGTCCGGCACCTGTTACCTTCTATGACGTCATGGTTTCACCTGCGGTAGAGGCTGCCGTTTCCTCCAGCCTCTGAATTGGGTTTTATGGTTGTTGTTTTCAGAACCTTCTGGGTTCTGTTGGATATTCGGTAAAAAGGGAACCCAGTAGAACTGATGGTGTTGATCTCAGGTTCGGTCAGACTGGTTCCGATCTTCTCTGGGTCTCCGAGTTCTTCTGGTTCCTCTCTTTACTGTTAATAATAAGAATAACTGAACTTTATTGATTTCACGTTAGAGAAATCTACCTCTGCATTGAACCCCTCCCCATGGGCAGCAGTGGGCTGCCATAGTGCGGCGCCCAGGGAGCAGTGTGGGGTTTCTAACTCACAACCTCAGGATTCCAAGCTTTATGCCCTAACCACTAGGCTAGCACTCCTCCACTATTACATATTAATAATAGGGTTAATATATATTATAGGGTTATACTCAGTGAAAAACTTTGAAAATCAACATTTCCAGCTAATAGTGTTACTGGAATCCAGGCAGAGACCTTATTATATTTGGAACATTCCAAAAATATGGATATTTTGAATGAAAAAAATGAATGTCAATGTTATAACAAGAAAATATTAAGAAAAATAACTAAAATGCTTCTAGAAGAAATTCATGAAAAACAAGAAACACATTTGTTTTGGTCCAACATAACCTTAGAGGCATTAATGCTGATATTGGCACTTACATTTTTTAGTTTATAAACCTAAATATAATTGTTAACGAGGCTTATTAACTCCATTTGTAAGGGGAATGCAAGGGATCAGAAATGTGAAGTTGCCCTTTAAAGGGTTAAAATGAAATAGAAAAAAAATCAGTTTTTCTGTTGCAGCCTAATAAAACTGATTCGATCCTCGGCAGGTTCTGAATCCATCCTGAGATGAAAAAACAGAAGTTTTATCTAAATGTTAAAACTGAGACAAAAAGACATGAAGCAACTACAGCAGCATCAGAGAACAGGAAGCAGGCCTTGGTTCTGCCCTCAGACAGACCCAGCTTTCAGTGAAAATCTGTGAGGAAAAGTGAACCAGTGTCACCAGCATGTCTCCATCCAGGGGAGGATTTAGGGAAT